GGGCTACAGCTGCAGGAGGCAGAGCTGCCCCAAGTCACCAGTCTGCTCATCATTAACCCCGAGAGATGGAAACAACCGGGGCGTTCTAAGTAAGGGACTCCTCCAAAACAGTGTCCTTTCTAACCTGTTGGTTCTAAGGCTGCTGCTGACCTGGAGCATTTAATACTACGCGCTACTTAAGTAATGATTTCTTGTCTGATGGGACAGGCTGTTCTTTTGTAGTCTAGCTGGTTGGTTGCCCACTGAATTAATTAGTATTCATGAGCATGTATCACAGCCAGGCTTTCAGCAAAGCTCCTTATCTGTGCTACTGACTCCTGTGTGATATTTCTGGAGCCAATCTGCTGCTGCTACCCTTAAAATTAAATGGAACAGGCTGCTATAGCCAACTGTTATTTATAGATTAGTCTGTAAAACGCCTCAAGCCTAGATCACTATTTTGTTTTGTTTTGTTTTTTAAGCTAAAATATGATGTTAATTTTTGTCCTGATGACCTTACCTTATACAGTAAGAGATGCCAGCCTGCTCCTTGTGACAGGACAAAGGGCAACTTTATGTGCAGGCTCAGCTCAGCCATGACTAGCAGGTGCTTCCAGCGGCCAATGCCCACAACCAAATAGTGGTAAGGACACTTGTGCATCTTTCTAAATTCGGACAGTCATTTTGTTTGAACTAAAATAATGGTATCAACCTGTTAATAACATCTCATACTGCTTTATCGTTTACAAGGCACTTTCATTTCCTGGTTCAGGGTTTTTTTTTCCTTTGTTGTTGTTTGTTTTTTCGAGACAGGGTTTCTCTGTGTAGCTCTGGCTGTCCTGGAACTCACTCTGGCTTGCCTTGAACTCACATAGATCCTCCTGCCTCTGCCTCCTGAATGCTAGGATTAATGTTGTGCGCCACCACTGCCCCACCCACATTTCCTGTTTTAATAGTTAACATTTACTGGGCACGTACACTTAGTAGTGTACCAGGCACTGTGCTTAACACTTAATGTGGATTTTAGAATTTTCAAATTCAAATGACATCAGTACAATTTATTTCATAGGCTGGAAACTTCCCCCGCAGGCCACAAAGCCATTAGGAATTGAGCTGTGATTCAAACCTAGGTTGCCTCTTTGGAGGCCCAACTTCTCAAATGCAGGCCAGAGGTCAAACTCAGGGGTCGTTTCTTGTGTCCATCCATCTTGTTTTCTGCAACAAGTTCTCTCACAAGGACCTTACTAATGAGGCTGGGCTTGGCTGGCAGTGCGCTACAGGAATCTTCCAGCCTCTGCTTCCCCAGTGCTGGATTTAGCATGCCACCACTCCCAGCTTTTTGCATGGATGGGTCCTGGAGACTGAACAAGTCCTCACGCTCATGTGGCAAGCGCTTTGCTACTGCGCTGGAAAGCGAACTCTTAACCACTGCATTCCACTTTCCCTTTTCCTGTGTCTTCTAAAATCACCCTTGGTGGAGTGCTGCCAGCTTCCAAGTCTCAATGAGGAGGAACACCAGGACTCAGACCCCAGCTAGTGCTGATGTTGTCTACTGCCTGCCTCTGACCCCAGTGTAGTAACTAACACGGGCAAGCCGGCAGCATTCGCTGGCTGACAGACAGGATGCAGAAGAGAGACAAGGCCTTTGAGGGTCCCGGGATGAGAGTGTTGCTGGCTTATGTGTGTGTGCTCTCTCCATTCACAGGGAAAGGGTAAGCAAAGAGAAGTGCACATTTAGCCGATAGGAAGAAGAGACACAATGCTACTTTGGACTCAGTTCCAGCAGCCGAGTAACATGCACTAGGAGGCAAACAGTTCCACTGACAGACTGAAAAAGAGCACCCATCAAAACAGCCAGTGAAGACCTGAATCTTAGTACGTAAGAGGTAAGGAAAGCCATGAAAAGGAATGGCAAAAAAGCCTCTTCCATAAGAGGCTAGGTAACAAAGAGAGTAAAAAGGCACTCTTGATGTTGAATGTTCTAGAAAGAAATTTCCTCATGCTCCAAAGGAAACTAGTCTGCCGTGGTTATACAATGTACAGTTATGAAGCCAGACTTTACAATCTAAGCCACGCACAAGTCTTAAAAACAGGTCAATAACGTACATCAATTGCTTTTAAAAAGTTACTCAGTATCTTCCTTTAAAAGGAATTATGAGTTTCAAAGCCTGGCATTAGACTGAAAATATTTATAAATCTCACAACAGGTTGTGAAAGCAAGTGGTGCCGAGTGATTTACCCCATTTCTCTCCCACAAGTTCTCAGCTCCCACAGGCCAGGCATTGCTCTTGAATCTCTGCTTCTTTTCCTGACAATGTTCTCAGCTTTGAAAATCACTGTTCCTGCCGGGCGGTGGTGGCGCACGCCTTTAATCCCAGCACTTGGTAGGCAGAGCCAGGCGTATCTCTGTGAGTTCAAGGTCAGTCTGGTCTACAAAGTGAGATCCAGGACAGGCACCAAAACTACACAGAGAAACCCTGTCTCGAAAAACCAAAAGGAAAATTACTGTCCTTTATGAATGGTTAATTCAATGTTTTAACAATACTTCTATTTTCCACAGATGCTTGTAAACAGAAGTTAAGTCCCTTTTACAGTAAGAACAAAACAACACTGTCACACACCAGAGTGTGACATGCAAGTCTATTTCAAAATCAAACTCAGCACCAACGTGGTGGTGACGCATACCTTTAATCCCAGCACTTGGAGGGCAGAGGCAGGTGGATCTATGCAAGTTTGAGGCCAGCCTGGTCTACACACTAAGTTCCAGGGTAGCCCAGGTGAGCCCATCTCGAACAAAGAAACACAAAACTCATGATGGATGTGTCAAGTGAAACTGGAAGTCCACTAATGTGAACTAGACATATTAAGAAGTTATTAAATTTTGAAGATACTTTAATGAGCCCTTCATAATTTCCTACAAATGCCATGTACATGGCTGTATTTTGTATATACTCATACCTCATGATATGGGTGATTATACCTAATAACATCCAACCTCTCCAGATGACTTTATGATTCAAAGATATAAGAGCTTCTACAGTGTAAAAGTACTATTTTAAAAGGAAGAAAATGAAACATGGAAAAGTTTTAAGAGGAATGATAGTATAGACATGGCTATTTTCTCAAATATACAAATTATAGAGCCAGATGGTCACAATGAAAGTCTAAAATTCAGAAATCATAAATTGATGGCCTATAAAAATGCCAAAATTTCATGAGTTGTGAAATTCAGGAGGTTGCTTTTCCATGATGGTTAGTAAGGGAACCTGGGCACTTTTGGGCAAAATGTGCTATAGCCGATATGATCAATGTCACTGAGGACAACCCAACTATCCCCTATATGATCAATGTCACTGAGAACCCCACTAGCTCATATAATGTGCTACAACCGATATGATCGATGTTGCTGAGGACAACCCCACTATTCCCATTTCCCTATAATGTGCTACAACCGATATGATCAATGTCGTTGAGGACAACCCCACCAGCTCCTACAGTCTCCTGTGTCTCTGTCGGAGCAGAACTCTGGCTTGGTGGAGAAATGGTACAAGGAGTGAAAACCCAAGTCCTGAGGAATCAAACCGACAGCACCACAGAATGCAAACCCCCAAGGGCTCTGCATACATGGATACGGGTAAGAGGTCGTGACACCAAAGGAAACAGGGTTCTTTCATGATCCCCCAACACACACTAAACACACAAAGCACAGGCAACCTTAGGACAGCTCAGAAAGACAATTCCATGCAATGAGGGCCCTGTGCTTATGCTATGGGGTGAATGGATGGACCAACCTCTGAAATGGTTAAGATCAAGTGTGCAGTATCTGTGGTAAGTATGAAAAATTTTGTGTTACTTATAGATAACAGCAACTTCATAGTTTTATTCCAGGACTATTCTGGAGAGGGACAATGTCTGATCACAACTAGGCATAGTTGGGCAAGCACATGTATGGTGGATGGACCCTGCCCAGCTCCCAGGTACTTGCTCTTCATCTCTTTACCTCTGTGGGATGTGGGATCATGACCTCTGCTTCCCATCTGAGCCCTTCTTCCTAATTCATACAAACATCCTTAGCCTGTTAAGCCTATGTCTGCTGTGTGTCTAGGTGGCGCAAGGCCAAAGATAACAAACAATGCCTTCTTTCCTACTTTTAAAAACTCTCCCTCCAAACAAACAAAAAGTGTGCAATAAAGAGATAACAAGCCAGGTTCCAATGATCTCAGTGCAACAAGGATTCTTCCTATTGCACAAAATACCACACGTTTCTAGTTGCAAAACATCTATGCTTGCACATCTGCTGACTAGCAGCTCAGTTAAAAACGAGTCCATCAGACTGACACCGTTTCTCCAGGTGTTCATCTCCTGTCATGCTGGAGGTGACAGAAAAGCACTCAGCAGTAGCTATAGGCAATTTTCCAGTCATACCTGTAAAGCTTTCTACAGCCATCTCCTCCCAGCTATCAAAGTGAGCTCAATGAAAAATCAGTTTTAAAAAAAAATTGCTTTTAGAAACTTGCAAGGTTTGAATAATAAGCAAGCCATACACAACATCTCTCTGGTCTGCCTCCTGAAGGCATCTCATGTCACTCACCGTTTGTGCCCTTTATCCATTGGCCAGGCCAGCCCATAGCCATTCACCCCTACTTAGCTCTACTCTACTCATCCTGCACTGGCCCAGGAGGCTGAGCTCTATGGAAAACGGGAAGCATCTGCCTTAGCTGGGCCCCTGCTCTCGGGCCTCTTGCAGAAGAAACTGGAGGGTGGAGGAGAGAACTAGCAGCCAGATGCCCACCCTTCTCACTGTCCCTGCTCCAGGACTCTGCGGTTCCGGTACTGCCTGCCTGCCCTGGGCTGAGTCTGGCCCAGGTCTGCTCACTCACTGTCCCTGGACTCTTAACTACGCCTCACTGGTTGTCATGTCACTCTGTGTCTTTACAAGCAATCCTCTACACAGTGGCTCTAGGTGTCAACGAGAGACCCCATCGCTGGCTGTCCCGTGGTTCTCCACTGGGGTCACTTACATGCACCGTGTGGACCAGGTCAGCTGCCAGGCACTGCTTCAGCTTCTCGTCGCTGCCGGTTCCATGCAGCACCAAATCCGGCATATACGTAGCACAGTAGCCCGCCAGAAGTGAGCGGGCAAAGTTTCTAACATTTGGCTTGCTGGTGCTCTGAGACCTAAAACAACATTTGAGCTAGTAAATACACAGTTAAAAGTACTCACTTTTTGTCATTACAGTGGGAACCAAACCTCCAATGATACAAGAAACTATAATAGCTTCCTGTAGCCCATATCAGAGTCTATAAAGAGATCATGAGGGTGAGAAAAGGGAATTTGGGAGGAAAGAAGTATTTTGATTAAAATGAAAGCCTGAAAAAAAAAATACACTGTTTCCCATGGCTAGTTAAAACTTCATTCTTAAGCCAGATGTGGAGGTGCATCTTCTCAGTGTAAAGCTAGCCTAGGCTACATAGTGAGACCTTGTCTAAAAACTAAGGGATCTCTTCTTACACCTCATACTGAACATCCACCTGAAAGTCCATGTCAGAAGGATGAAAGAGGAGGCTGGGGGTCATGGTGAACAAAGCATGGCTTTATGACTCTGACCCATCTGCAAGGGGAGGTAGCCGCCACAGTGAGGAAGAACAGAAGAAATCTTTTAATTGCAACTTTCAGCCATCACAGGCCAGAGAACCAACCCAATGGAGTGCTAATGAAGAGTAGAAAGTGGTGGGAGAGAAGCCTCATGGTGGGTGTGATCCATTACCTTAGAAGCAAGACATCCGAGCCAATCGTACAAATGACACACACGTGACACCAGATGGAACTCTCCTCCTTGCTACCGTGACTGTGGCCCTTCACTCCCCCTAAATGCCTCAAGAGCTGCAAAGACAACCACCAGTCCTCTGTCCAGGAACAGAGCTACACCAAGACTGTGAGCATCCTTGGAGACTAGACAGGCTGGAAACCCCTCGGAATGTGACTGGTGATACCCCTCACATTTAAGAGCAAAGCATGTACTGTGTGGTTGTGGGTGGTTACCAGGGTCACAGTGTCAGGCTGGGAACAGACTCTAGTTCCCTGTGCAGTGTTACCTTGGCAGAGGCAGCTCCACTTCCAAGGACCCTTCAGTCCTGTCGCAACTGGGACCTAGGCCTAGCAGGGCTAAAGCACACGCTTCATTATCACTGTCTCCGAGAGCACTATCCAAGCTTTCGTTCCTGGGAAGGTCTCCTTCGATCCTGAAGTTGGCCTTATCACGGGCGTCCCCACAGGGGACATCTGCAGCACCCAGCAGGCCACCCTGCTGTCTATATCTGTTTACATGCTGGGAGGAAGGTCTCTTCTTGCCTTTGCATTGCACATCTCCAGTGTGTTCCAGTGGTCTCTGGTCACTGCCCGCTGCACAGCTAGAAGGTGCAGGGTGGCCATGGGCTTGGCCAAGTTGTCCCCCAGCACACACCATGATGTTGGCTTGGAGGCCTCTGTCCTCAGAGACACCTTCTCCTCCTCCCGAGGACTGGTCCTCAGGAAGGGCAATGTCCTTTTGGAAGTCAGCTTTGGAGGAACACCTAGAGCCCTGCTGGTCTTGAGTCAGGGCAGTGTCCACGCTAGGACTGATAGAGGCACCGGTCCCACAAAACTGTCCACAGGTCTTTAGCCGCTCCTCCATTTTTTTGGCGCGGCTTTCGAAGTCGGCCTCTGGAGAGACGGAGCTTCCAATGTGGAAGGTGACCTTTTCGACAGGAGGATCCTCCTGGGAATGTCTGTCAGGGCAGGGCCAGGCTGCTGACCTGTCAGCTGGTTTCTTTAGCATCTCCCCATGCAGCTCCTCATGGACAGCATGTGGGTCCATCCTTAGTCTTACCCTGGGAACCCCAGAGCTGGGAGGTCTTGAAGAGTCATCTTGGGGTGCCTCTTGGTCATTCTGTTTGTCCTCACAGACTATGCCTTGAGGTGTCCACGAACTGTTAGGTTCTGCCTCTTGGAACCCCATGCTGCTGGCCTCAGAATTCTGCTCTGGCCTCTTGCATCTGTTTCTGTCAGGTTTGTGACCCAGTTCGCTGGTATCGGCGCCTTCTGGGATCTCAGCTTCTCCTCTAGGCTCCGGGCTCCTCGTCTCAGCCGTCACTGGTGGTAGGATTGGCGGGACAAGAGCAGGCTCATTTCTCACTGTAACTACCACATACTCAGATTCCTCCACCTCTCCTTTTTCCAAGGCTGTTACAATCTTGCTCCCGTTTATATCTTGGTCATCTTCACTAGGATTCCCACTCCAGGTCAGCTGATTCTCTTGTAGTTCAGAGCAACGGAGAAAGTAGGTCAGAACATAAAGGATGCGCTGGACCAAATCCTTCTGCTTTCCAATCACCACTGTGCGGGTCAGTCTCACTGGAGAGCCTATAGCTCCATAAAGGTCACCTACAGGGCAAAAGATGGACAGAAGACAGAGTCCTCCAGAGTTAGCACACACGAAATATCCGCCCTCTACAAGAACAAAACTGGTCATTTGTAACTTGATTCCCAGCCTTCAATCACTTCTTGAGGCACCAGATATAAAATTTCCAGGAATGGCCATGTTCCAGTTGCCCCGATACTGGACCACAGGTCTGATAGGCCAAACAGGCTGCAGCCTAGCATCCAGCTGAACACAGCGGAACAGGGCAGCGGTGCTGCTGGACACACAAGGCCCCTCACGGGGCTCAGGTGGTGGCATGCTTACCCAAGGAAAGCTGAAGCCATTGCTCTGCATAAATAACCAGACCAGGTACATAGATATCTTGCCGATTGTAAGAATTTCTTAAAGAATACAGTGGGGAGTGTGTCACGGGGAGGACTGGAGAGAAGGCTCAGTGGTTAGGAGCATATGCTGTGCCTGTTGAGGACCAAAGTTCAATTCCCAAGCACCCACGTCCTCGTTGGGCAAGACTTCTCACAACCGTCTGTAATTCTGCACAGGCCATCTTCTGATCTCCCCAGACCCCTGAACTCATAGGCACATACCCACACACAGATAAACACGTACTACAGACATGTAATTAAAAATAAAGAAGAATCGCAGGATGGTGAGTCTTAGGGTAAAATGCAAATTCAAGAATTTCTAAACTGATATGAAGTAAATCAATTAAAATTACTTAACGAGGTAGTGTGTGTAGGATTCTCTTATGGATTTACTCTAAGTAGACTCAGTCTGATTTTTAAGAAAAACTACCTAATCATGAATAACAAATATGCATATTTTTAAAATTTCATATCATATAAAAAGCTGACAGGACACAAATCATGTCTTCTCAGTTATATTCTGGTAAGCTGGTTAACACAGGCCGACGAGCCAGTTTTGTGTTCAATGTGAAGAGTGAAAACGACAAAATCAATTCAATAGTGCGCATTACCAGTGCAGTCTATCCCAGAACACACTGACATCAGTGTTTTAAGAAGAAATAACGGAACAGGAAGGGTTAAACTGGGGGTGGGGGTGGGGACAGAGGGCAGGGTAGAGGAGGGAGTGTGGGGAAAGAGGACTAAAGATCTTTCAAAAAAGTCATACGGAAACCAAACACACACACACACACACACTCTCTCTCTCTCCTTAAAAGGGAGTCACTTATAACAGGGCAACAATGTTCCTATTAGATACTATAAGCTATCAAACAAAAATCAGAGCCAGGAATGGGTTATGTCTTTTGGAGTTGTTGGCTGATGAGATCCTATAGACCACGACCACCCCTACCCCCACCCCCCCCCCCCCCCCCCCCCCCCCCCCCCGCCCCCTCCCTGCCCCTGCCCAAACACGACAGGCTCTTGCCAATGCTCCTTGCTACACTCCAGAATTTCACAGTAAGACCCTATTGCTGATGACGCCACATAGAGAAATCAAGCTGGAGCTTAGCTGCAAGCTACATCCCTACTGGCTAACTTTCACAGTGCTTGAAGGTGTGATGCAAGCTACTGGAGGGGGATGTAATCATCAGTCACGTCCAACTGTGAATGCTGTGAGCTGTAATAACGACTGGCTGGTAGGATATGCTGCTGGTGCAACAGTGGCAAGAACATCATGGGAGAAACCAATCACTTTTTGCTGGGATGTAAGTCCTGCTCCACAGACTAAAACCCACAGCCTATGGCTGGACAGGTCATAGGTCTTGGGGAGAGCCTACTGGTATGATTCTGCTGAATGGAAATAGTGTTTCTAATGACTTACTGTGTACTCATAGATCAATGCATCTCCCAAGCCTAATCTGAGAAGCTTCTTTTTACAGTAGATGGTAGTTAGCATCGGGATCGACAATTGGCCAAGGTACAGAGGATAAGAGACTACAAAATGCTCAGCCCTCAACAGAACACGCATACTACATCCCCCATGCTTAAGAACCTCTGCAGAAGAGGGAACAGAAAGAATACAAGGGCCGGAGGCAGCGGGTGACTGTAAGGAAACAGTGTCTTCTGGACGCAGCAGCGCAGGCAGCTGCACTCAGGAACTCACAACAGTCTCGACAACATGCACAAAACCAGTGCAAGCACAAGACAGACAAAATTCCAGCATGGACACGGGAGCTGGGCATAAAATCCCACCCCCAGCTATGGAGCTATGGGCAACTGTTAGCTTCTGGGAAAAGGAGAGATGGTTTTCTTTGAGCATTGTCCTGGTAAGTCGACCATACTCCAGGGCAAGACCACACACTCAGGAATATTCGGGCAACACAAACTGGTCTTGACTTGGGCCTTAAAGAAATAAAGTTAAATAAAAAGGGACACAAGGTTAGGTGAGTGAGAGAGTGGATCTGGGAAGAGCTGGGGGAGAGAAGATGACTATGATCAAAATATGCAAAACTCCCAAAGAACACATTTTTAAAAAGTCCTCATCACCTCACTGACTCACCAGGTTCCGTCATTTCATTAGACTGCTAATGAGATGGACAACCAACGCCTACTGAATGGGTAGGCACTCAAAGACTGTACCATTATACAACCAAGCCAGAGTCAGAAAGGATTCAAGAATTAACCAGAAGGCTGAGAGCCATCCACCGCGGAAGGAATGTCACATAAATGAGAGGCGAGACTCAGTGACGGTGACAAGGAGGAATGTGGGAAGCCGGGACTCAGTTGAGGAATGCATCCACAGTGAGGCAGGAAGCCACAGGTTAGAGAAAACTAAAATTAGTAGGCTGAGGTTGAGAGAAACACTGTGAGAATGGGCAGGACACTCTCTCTAGGGAACCATAAGGAAGTGTGTCCTTGGGAGAGTTTTCCCTAGTGTACAGCTTCCAAGAACATTTAAAGGGCAGGACAGAAATAATAATAAACAACTTCTCTATAAAAAGACAAGACCGAAGGCTTGCAGAGCTTTGGCATCTAGGAAGTCACCCTAGACTTCAAAGTGAGAGCTCAGAAGTATGGTGAGATGCTATGGTTTGGTCTGAGAAAACTGCCCTGACCATGAGCTCATGTCATGCCTTCCTCCTGATCCTGTCTCCCCACACTTCGGGACATCACAGTCACGTTAGGACTCGGGCGTTTCTGTGGCCTCCGGGCTACTACCACATACAAGCTGGTCCTGGTGGTGTGGGCCCATGATCGCAGTTACTAGGGAAGCTGAGACAAGAGGATCATGAGTTCCAGGCCACCCTGGGCTGTATACAGTGACTGCCTCAAGTACAAAACAAACAAGCTACACTTCCCATCCCCCTTAAAATACACAGGTCTAAAAATGTTACCAGATGGCTGGAATCTTATATATCTTTGATATATGTTATAAATTAATTGTCTAAGTGTTAGAGCATCATGATCTAAGATTCTTCACATAAACAGAGCACATAGAAGCAGTTTCAGGTCACAAAGGTTATTCCTCTAGCTAGTGCAGAGCAGCAAAACTAGAAAAGAAGCACAAACCCCTTACTCAGGGCAAGGATTCACAATCTCCCATATTAAAAAAAAAATGGAAAAAAAAATGGGGAGTCTTTTGAAACAGAAGAGGTTGTGGTGTAAATGAAATGGATAAAGAGGGAAAGCATGTTGCTAAGAAGGGCTGGGACACTCAGCACGAGTACTTACAAGCCTGAGGACCTAGGTTCGTTTCCCAGCACAGGTAAGCAGCCAGGTATAGCCACATGTGTCTGTACCCAAACTGCTGGGCAACAGCGAGCTCCAGGTTAGTGATGAAATCCTTCTCAGGGGAACAAGGCAGAGTGACAGAAGAGGACACCTGACATGGTTGCATGCATCTGCACACATCTATACATATGTACGCACCCACACATGAATGAACACACACACACACACACACACACACACACACACACACACACACACACACACACTGCTGAATGAAAACTCATGAGAAGTAAAAGTAGATGATGGTTAACATCAAGGTGGACAACATTTTCTATAGGGAGGAGGGAAACAGAAGATGTATACTTCCTTCTTGTTAGAATAGATTTACAAGTATTTATGACCTTTTTTTGGCCGGAAAATACCTAATTGCTGCAAACAAAAGACAATGCTCTGAAACACACAGATAAGGTTCCCTCCAACCCTCCTGAAGAGTTAGTTTCCTTGTCTATAAAATGGAAAGTCTTACAAGTGTCTTGAAGATGAAAAGACGTAGCATGCTTGTGATAGCCAAGCCTGATGGTCATTTAATCCTCAGACTCTGAGGCAGAGCAGATCTCATCAGGGTGAAGAAAAAGAGATGGCATGTGTGAAAATGCGTCAAGTAGGATTACCCATTCTGAGGAGAATAAGAATGAAAAAAGATGTACACAGCCCTGATGTCTGTGGGCCTCATCAAGCACCGTGATATGCACACAGTAGGGATTCTTGCTCCAGGTCTGGTCTGTGGGCTTCATCAAGCACCATGACATGCACACAGTAGAGATTCTTGCTCACAGCCCTGATGAGCAAAAATAGACTTTAAAACAAGGATTCCCAAAAACCTAAACTTCATGGATGACCCAGATCTGTACATTCAAGAAGATCATGAGTTCCAAGCAGGAAAATCAAGTAAAAGTAAAAGCAGACATGCTGTAGCTGAACTGTCAAAACCAAAGGTAAAAGGGGCATTTTGAAGACAGGAGAAAACCCACTCAGCTCAAGGGCAGGTTGCTCACTCACAGCAAATTCTATATTGAGACACCACACATCCTAAAACTCACATTTACGGAACGTCTGTGGGAGTCATTCTCTTTCTATTCTACTATCCTGTTTACATGCTTTTCGAACCCACAAATGGCTTCCACAGGCCACTGGTGGACAGTATCCCTAATGTGGAAACCCCCGTGCATGGTGCCCATGGGGACAAAGGCACCAGATCACTGCGCTCTGTGGAGCAAGTCCTTGAGTGTGAGGAGAGACTGTGGCTGAGAAATCACACGGGTGAGATGAGACATGTTGACTGTCCTGATGAGCTCTGGGTAAGACGCTGAAATCGTTCAAGATAGAACCGCTTTTTTTATTACTTAGGAAACTAGATTAAAATCACATCTGCACCGCTGTTTAGTCCCCAGAGCTTATGTTTTCCTGCCTATCACACAACATACAGAAGACAACCGGAGTTGAAGCACGTCCGTCCTCTGTCTAATCATGGGAATGCTTTCCTCGTTTGTGATACTGGAGACTCGATCGCTCACACTCGTCTTTACAAGTCTGTCCTATGCCTTCTCTCCCTCCTCGAACTAGTCCGATCAACACCCAGACCTTGGAGGGATTCTTCTCAAGAAGAGAGAACTGAGGACCTTCAGTGGTGTATGATCTCCAATGAAAAGCCATGAGCAAGCCCACAAGAGGGGATTTTTTGCCTTGTTATGTGGAACACAAGGAGTCAGCGGCTCCCAGTTAGCTCAGTCCCACAGGAGAAGCATTCCCGAGTCTAAATGTATTTATCTAATTAAATGCATGTGGCTTAATTACCACTGTTTGAAAATCGACTCTGCAGCAGGACACACTGTATTTCCTTAATATCCAGACCAATCCCCTGCAGGAATCAAAACTACACTTTGAAAAGAATGTCTTCCCATTGAGAACAACAACGTATGTCCTCGAGAAGAGCTATTCATCCCTGAGGGGTGGGGCAAGTTTTGAACTGTTCCTTGTACCAAGCACCAAAATACAAAGCACTGTACTTTTTATTTATTTTTTTGAGGCAATGCCTTGGTTAAATAGCCCAGACTAGCCTACAACTCATAATTCTCCAGCCTCAGCCTCCCAAGTCCTGGGATTATACGTTATATGCAGTCACTCCCAGTCTAACATGGTTTTACTCCCCATGAATTCTTTAGTTAATTCATTAAAAAACACACCTATTACTTTCCCTATGAGATGTGTATCTTCTTTTGTGTCTCATAGGCATAAAGACAAGGAAGTATTTTTACTGCTATAAAATAAGGACACCTCTAACAGGTAGGGGTGAGAATCTCACCAATCTGTATGTGTGTCGGGCACTAACAATGCTCGCTGCTTGTGTCTCGGCGTCAGCTTTTGTTACAGCGACTGAAACACCGATTTCTAGGACTAGAGTGCTTTCGCAGCCCACTGCTTTCCCTAGCAATTACCATGTAGAGATTCCCTCAAGGAAGCCTTCCTGGAAAACCTCATTCATCCCTTTTCCTTCTATAAACGTCCCACAGCATCCAGAGCAAAGGTGCTTTGTACAACTGATTGCATCTCCCAAACACCAAGTCCTGACCCCATTCCATCGGACATGTGCAGAGTACTTGCTTAGGCCCCAGGTACTACCTCTAACACACCAAAGGAAGAGGCACAGGAAAGCTAAGTGACTGCCTTCAGAAATGAACCAAGTAAAAGGCTTCTGCCCGCCCCCCACGTCCACTGCCACGACACTCCCACATCCCCTGTACACTCTTATCCAAGCACTACGACATTCTCAGATGGATCAACCTCATTCACCAGGCAGCTGGCTACTGAGGCCTGAGCAGCTGTGACTCCACTCTTGAGTTCCAGCACACGAGCCCTCTGTCACTCTAACGCTCGCTTAGAGCAAGTCCAGGTATGTAATCCCAGTCTCACGAAGTGCTCAATTCCACCACCACCCCCCTCTCCCCGCACTCCCGCACCCCCAGCTGAGGACCTAATCCAGGGCCTTGTGCTTGCTAGGCAAGCGCTCTACCACTGAGCTAAATCCCCAACCCCAGTGCTCGATTCCTATACCATGCCTACATATATGTGTTGAGGAAGTACTGCTACCATCAACCACAAGACAGAGCGACAGACGAGACGTCAGATGTACAATGTGGTCAGAGAGGTGGGGGGATTAGAGGGTGACACTTTCCCTCTCCTCTCTCTCCCCAGCCACTCCAGAGGTTCTTACTCGAGTGCCTTTAGTTACCCCTCTTCCCAGGGAATTTGGCAATGTCTGGAGACGTTCTGATGGTTATAACTTTGGGCAGAGAAGAGCTCTACTGGGATCTGGTGAATGGAAGTCAGGAGTGTTGCCGAACAGTCTGTAAGATGTCAGGCAGCCCTCCCCTGCCCCGTCACAACTCGACCACAAAGAATTATCTGGCCCAAACAGTCAGTAGTTAGTTAAGGAAACCATGATAGGGTGAGCAGCCTCTGTGAAGTGGAGGACTCGGTTGACCTACACTGTCTCAAAAGAGCCAAACAAAGCTGCCAGTGAGGGAAAGGGATGAGGGTAGCAGCCTGTTAACTCCAATCTGTGGTCCAGTCTCATTTCTGCAAGAGCCAATCCTTGAATGACTGGGTTGGAAAGCCAGTACAAGCTATAATTTCCAGCATCCCGCCCTCCCATTTCTCCAGATATATTCTCTGAACAGTCAAACTAGGTACTAACCCAGCTGTGCCCAGAGAGGATTATACGGATGCGTTTTGGCCAGCATGTTCACCGACTGAGAGGTACGCTTCTCCGAGAAGGCTTTAATGGGAGGGTGATCGACAGGCATGACGGTTGGTACCCAGGCCAAATGGTATGTTAACACCGCAGTCAGTAAGGCAGCAAAAAACCTTGGGAAAATGGATAAAAACACACCCAAATTAGTCAAATGCAGGACAAGACCATGTGCTATGCAGAATACAAGCTGGCTCAGGATTTACCCACAAGTCTCAGTGGGCTTATGCTTACTGGTTTTTGTTGACTTGCTCAATCAGAAGTATAAATTCCTTGAGGAAGCGCTGGCAGAGCTGGTTTTTTTCCAACGTGTTCGACATCATGGTAAGCCATACTGGTTCAGCTATCCTTGGAACAGAATACAAGTTCCAGATAGTCCCTCTACAGGAAGAGAGAAGGGACCAGCTGTCAGAAACAGTTATTTTGGGTATCTTAGTGTCAAAGAATAAAGGTGAACACAGTAATTTTGATACATGTATTCCTTAAGGAATTAAAAAACAAACTTGAGACAGGCTAGCAAACTATGGTTCACACAAATCTGATTACTAGCATTTTTGTAAATAAAGTTTTATTGGGACACATGAATGAATGCTCTAATGGATGATCTACATCACCATGGCTCTGGGAACATCATGGAAGAGGGGCAGGAAGACTGCAAGAGCCAGAGCACCAGGATATCTGCTGTGAAATAGTGTCTCCTAGAAATGGCTGCATAAGCAAGCTCAGAACAGTGGCAATAAATATGGACAATTAATATGGACATATTAATACCAAAGAGGGAAAATGTCTTGGGGTCCTACCCCCAGACTAAAAACTGTATAGGCAGCGAATGACCGCTGGGAGGAGAAATAGCTAGCCTCTTCTAGTGATGAGCCTCCTGAATGGTTTGTCTAGTGCAGAGAGGTCATCCCTCAAAGTGTTTACATAAAACCAGACTCAGCAAGTTGTATTCATATGTGTGTGCATACACCGATATTCATATATGTATGTAACAATAATAGTCAAGAAGTATCAACTTCAGAGTGTAGGCGTGGTGAGAAAGACATGGAGGGGTTGTAAGGAGGGTACCTGGGAGGGACAGAAAGAGGGAAAGTGACATCATTCTATTTCAATTAAAAGCATATCTTTTAAACAAAAAAGCAGTGATATGATTACAGTAGCAAGGTCTAGGATTAACCTACAACACTCTTGTCTCTGCTGGGCATAGTGGCACACGCCTTTAATCACAGGACTTGGGAGGTAGAGGCAGCTGCATGTTTTTGAGTTCAAGGCCAGCATGGTCTACATAGTGAGTCCCAGGACAGACAGAACTATATAGTGAGAACCTGTCTCAAAACAACAACAAAATAATAATAAACAAACCCTCATCTCTCTAAATATTAGTACATTAGTTTCTGGACGGCTCACTGTCAAAGTAAGTGTAAGCCTCTTCTACGTACCAACCTCTGGCTTTTTATTTTCGGGTTTTCACCTCTGGAAGATTGGTACTGATTAGATTAGCATCCAGACTCTCCAGCCCGAGCCAGCTTTGAGTGTGACCACAGCAAAGCCACACGCAAATCTAGTGCTGCCCCTCGAGGAGACAGCTGACCCATCATCTTCATGGCTTTTCTCAAAATGAAACAACCAAGCAGTTCTTTCTCTATAGCCAGAGTTCAGAAAAGGTGGCAATTTTGCTTCAAGCAGCACTGAGCTCACCAGGAAAAAAAAAAAAAAAAAAGTGTTCTAACATTCTAGGAAATGTAGTTTTTTTTTCCCACCCCTCAGCTATTTGGCTCATTTACTCACCATAACTGCTTAGCCGTGAGATTCCATTCCCCATAGTGAGAATGGCTTCTGAGAAACTCAGATGAGCACAGGGGGGGGGGGGGGGGGAAGACGACGACCCCATACCTGGGGCAGATTACCTTGCTACCCACACTCTGAGGGCAAGGACCACAGAAAACCAGTGTCCATAGATGATTAGTGGAGGCAGAGGTCAGTTAGAAACGGCTAACAGAGCCAGAGAAAGGGGACCAGACGGTTCACTAGCCAGACCAGGGCATGGCGCACAGGCACTGATGCGCACTAGACCCGCCCTGGCAGATGAGAGCTAGGTCTCCAAGACATGCACACATTTTCTCCATGCACTCTAGGGGACAAGCAGCACTCCTGAAACCAAGTTCCAACATCTGTAAAAAGGATAAAAAGTCTTTGCTTTCAGCGTTTATGAGACAACAGATGTAAGATCATGGAACTGACTTATAAGCCATCCTCTAAAATTAGATTTCAGTTCATTCTGATGAAAACAATCCCATTAATCCAGGTAATCTTAATCCTTAAGTGCATGTCTTAATCCCAGCACTCACGAGGCAGAGGCAGGTGGATCTCTATGAGTTTGAAGCCAGCCTGGTCTAGTAGGCAGTTCTAGGTCAGCCAGGACTACACAGTGAGACCCTATCTCAAAATAAACACAAAACCAAAACAAACAACCCTAACTACACAACAAACAAAAAACTAATCCCATTAAGAACCGTCAGGCACAGTCAAGATGACTAAGTGCTACATTACCAAATGTTTGGTTTTACTTCATCTGTTCTCATGGGCAGAGACACTAACTAACTGAAAATCACCAGTCCCCTCATTCTTCTAAGAGATAACCTCATAACAGGCGGCAGTACTACTGCTCTTAACTTCCTGCTGGATTTTCAAATCCTGTACTTTACCTGAATTCTCCCAGTGCCTCCATCAGACGGCTCACATAAAACTGGACACGGAGACTTGATTCTGCTATCTTCCTGCAGGAGATCATGGCCTTCATGGAAGAGAGTGAGCCAAATTACCCTCTGAGAAGAAAGTCCTTTATAACTGATCTGCTGGGACTCATTAATGAACAATGTTACAATGCACCTAGAATACCCACAGTAATGACGCTTCAGCAAAAGGCAGTCACCTCCTTCCCGACAGCAACCAGTGTCTGCCTCTAGCCTGAAAAATCCTGAGGATCATCATGCCAGGGCACGTTCTGACTTCCTTAGGCAGGCCATCTGACACACAAAGACATGTGCCGTCTTGGGCTGCAAACCTCTCCCGTTTGCCAGTAGGTCGTAATCTTATTACCTTTCATTTTCTTATTTAAGTGTTTGCTTGGAATGGATCCCAGGGTCTTGCCCACGCTGTGTAAATGCACTACCCTGAGCTGCACCCCCATTCCTTGCACACACTGTGTAAATGCACTACCCTGAGCTGCACCCCACCGCTTGCACACGCTATATAAATGCACTACCCTGAGCTGCACCCCACCCCTGCACACGCTGTCTAAGTGACTGCCCCCGAGCACTTCCTTGCCCCACCTCACCTTTTCGATGGCGCTCTTGAGCCTGTTCATGTGGGATTCAAACAGGGGGAAGTGGGAGAAAAAGAAGTCCTGGAAGTTCTGCTGTGCCGCTTCCCTCTCACACAAGGAAAAGATGACGCTGATGGCAATTTTCTTCCTTCTAACTATGGCTGGGTTAGAGCTGCAGGTTTCGTCAGCCAAGCTAAACGTCTCATCCGTTGACCTGGAGGGAAAGTAAGTTTGAAAAGTGGTCGTGCATCGCTGAGTCATGGAAGGTAAGCTGTCTTGGCCATGTGACAACACTCAGGAAGCCAATGCAGAATATACTGAGAACTCAGCTGGTCATTCGTCTACCTCACATTCGTTATCTTCTCACTCCTTTGTCACGAAAACTGAGAGAATGTCCACTTGCCACACAACATCACCTTACCATCAAAAGAAGTTCAAGTGAAAGCCAATGCTAATTTAAATGTTTGACTCTCATCCGAATGACTGTATCTAGAAGGAGTTCGAGATACCAGCTCCATCAAAACACAGGCTCTAGCTAGCGAGATGCTCAGGGCACACAAGTGCTTGTCGTGCAAGCCTGGTGACCTCGGTTCCATCCCTGACACTCACAGAGAAGCGGGATGTGGCAGCACACACCTGCAATCCCAGCATTCCCACCGTGAGATAGGAGGCAGGGACAGAAGAATGGGTGGTGGGACACTCGCAGGCCCGCTAGCCTAGAACATGATGCACAGAAGAAACAAGAGAAACCCTGCCTCAAGGCAGAAGGCAAGAACGGACTTCTGCACAGCTAGAATCTTTGCCAGGTCCTGAGAGTGTCCATGGTCCCCTTTGAATCCTCACAAGATGGGCTCCACTGCCCACACTTCTTATTACATTCTAGTATTCTAAATTCCCACCAGAATGGCATGCTAAGATCTTCTTACAACATTCTGGGACTTTTTAGCCCCACATCTCCAAATTCCTCCACATCCCTCCCACAAACTACTTACCAAAGCCCATGGAGCACACGGTCAGGTTTATAGCAGCAATGGCCCTACAGCATAGTTCCAGTTTTCTGTGTCAGGTACTGTGATGGCTAATCCTGGTTGTATTGGGATAGTTTTATGTCAACTTGACACAAGCTAAAGTCATCTGAGAGGAGGGAACCCTAGTTGAGAAAATGCGTCCATAAGATCTGGTTGTAGGCAAGCCACAAGGCATTTTCTTAATTAGTGACTGATAGGGGAGGGTCCAGCCCATTGTGGGTGGTGCCATCCCTGGGCTGGTGGTCCGGGGTTCTATAAGAAAGCAGGCTGAGCAAGCCATGGTGAGCAAGCCAGTAAGCAGCGCCCCTCCATGGCTTCTGCATTGGCTCCTGTCTGCGGGTCCCTGCCCTGTTTTTGAGTTCCTGTCCTGACTTCCTTCAATGATGGACTACAGTGTGCATGAGTAAGCCAAATAAACCCTTTCCTCCCAACTTGCAAAAAAAAAAAAACTGACTTCTGAAAGCTGTCCTCTGATGTCTACACACGCTCTCTGGCACGTGTGTACTTAGAATATAAAACTCATCCTTGGTTGTTGTTGGCAGCTAAGAACAGAGGAGAGACTAAGAAGACCAGTCCTGTGGAGCATTCTGTTTACACAGACACCATGCTTCAACGCTCACTAGCACCTTCCCCAAGGCTATTAGAACCAGCAGATGAAGTTACCCCTTTAAATGCGCTGATGAAGCCAAGTGATTGACTGACTGAGCACTCTGGGAAATCCGCTAAGCAGAAAGGCTCAGCTCTCATCGGTTATAGTCAAGTTCTCAAAGAACTTAACGATCCTTTGGAGAGACCCTGCTTCTACAATAAAAGAACTACACAGCCATAAAGTCTTAATATATATCCGACTTGTGTTAGGGATAATACAATTATGGTTTAACCACAACTCTTATTTAAAAGCTGTGAGAAGCCAGGAGAGCTACCAACACAAGAGTGAAAATAAAGAGAGTTCGTTTTGTTCTATAAAGGCACCGAAGTGGAGGCCAGGGTCTATTGCAAAGCAGTATAGCTAGCCTGCCACACGACAGCGTGCAACACAGGCTTTGTCACCAACTACACCATTTCTAAGGGCTCTATTCACAGTCTACAGTAGTCTGTATATTCTCAACTATGTCCGGGTTTTACTAACCCACGGGTTTAAGCACGTCAGAAGCTGCATGGCTAGGAAAGCTCTGAGGTATGTGTCTCTGCGTTCCGCAACATCCCTCGGATGTGGGATGAGGGAGGGTATGAGTGACATGACAGCTCCTGACCTGTAGGTGCCGTGTAAATGTACCAAGTATCCCAACAAACTACCCACCCTTCCCCGAGAAAACTCCAGATCCCAATCACCAGAAAAAATCTCCGAGAATCACACAGACTGTCACATAGTTTCACACAGGAAGTAGTGAGTTGGTATTTTTAAAGGCTCCCAGTCTTTGTTGTAAAGTCTTTGTATTAAAAGCTTGATTCTGTGCACTAGTCTCTTTCTACTCTGCATATTAAACTTCTATCCAGGTGTGTGTGGTGGTACACATCTGCAATCCCATCCCAAGAGGCTGAGGTAAACTAAGGAGGTAGTCTTGAACTCAAGTTCAAGGATAGGCTGGGATAGTGAGACCCTGTTACAAACAAACAAACAAACAAACAAAAAGAATAGCAACAAAATATTCTTCTGGGCTACAGTATAAAACTGGCCTCTTCGCTGAATGCTCTATTTCTCTTCTTTCTCGGAAGTAAACCACTTGGATATCACTATCATTACCTTCCTCCTCAAGCCGAGGTGGTCTTGAGTAGCTGAACTGGGATCAACACTGGGCTCTATTGTATTCTTCATCTCCATCTCCACCCTCCACACAATGGTCAACTCGGCTATCAGTGTAAACAGGGAAGAGAGTGCCACCTGCTGAACTGATGTGAGACCTTCCTCGGTGAATAGAAACTAGATCTTACCGGCTTTACAGCACAGCTCTACTGAAAGCTAAAGCCACAGAGCTTCATGCTGCAGTCCAACCACCCAAACTGGACCACATCAGGTCATAGGGAATCATAATTATCGTTTAAGTATCATTGCACAGTAAAGGATGCCGGAGGATGTGTCAAATATTCTGATTATATAAGCAGACACCTTTTCATGCTCTCTCTCCAGGTCGCCAGGTCAACCGCCCAGGCTGTTTTATCAGTACAGAACCTGAAGCAGTGCTTGCCTGGGCAACAAAATGCTCTCTGGTAAGGACGCTCGAGTTATGCCCTAGGGTATCTGTCTCTGCCATTCCAGGCTGTTGGGTATCAGCGGTAACCCAATGTCCACCCTGCCTGACCCGCCAGCTCCGGCCCGTGCTGTCCGATGCACTGTGGTGGCTACAGCACCACAGGAAAGATCTGGAAGCACACATCAGCCAACACATTTCAAGACCCAGAAAGACCATGACTATACACTTCGGTCTTTTCCACAGAGAGAAATCAAGTAGAGGAGGCATGGAGGTCCATACATGTAACTCCAGCACATGGAAGCAAGGCAGGAGGACCGTGAGTTCAAGGCTACTGAGGGCTACAGAGCTACCTCAAAAAAAAAAAAAAAATCAAATTGAGTTTTGTTACACTTAAGAATATATTGATACATGTAAGTACTTCAAAATCATAATCACTTAAAATAAAAACCATGGTCATTTTAGTATATATAGACAAACTATAATTGACATCAGGGCTGCTTAGCACAACTAGTGTTGAGGTCAGATTTGAACTTACACTGAACCTATGAAACAGATAATATAAGTCTTAGAAACATCTCAACGGAAACTTTGTTCAATTTACTAATCAAAAGGCTTCCAAGGGACATGTCTCCATGTCTGGCTCCTTTAGGATTTAGGGTTTTTTTTCTAAGGGATAAAATGCCTGAGGCTCCTCTATCCCCACAGATAGCAGAGTTATTACCAGCTGCAGGATGTGTAACACCCCATATAGGTGCCCTCAGACCACAAGCTTGCCACTTAGCACAATGAGGCGGCCTGAAGTCAGAGCAGAGTCAGCCTAAATTTAGGGGCTATATCATTCCTAACTGCCTGTAACACTCTTAGGAAGGATTTTTGATTTATGTATCTCAAAATTAAATTTTGGTTTTTTTGATATGGTCTCATCATATAGCCCTGGCTTGCTTGAAACTTGCTACATATATCAGGCTGGCCTTGAAGTCATAGAAATCCATCTGTTTCTGTGCACCCCACCCCACCCCATGTTAGACCTAACAGTGCACACCACCATGTAGGGCAGGAGGATGTTTTTAATGACTGTGCACTTCCTCTCAAAGCCAGAAGCAGTGAGAGCTTCTGATGTCACTGTTCTGTTTCCAGCACAAGAAACTATCACTCAGCCAAGAGTGGCAGTGTGTACCTGGAACCCCAGCACTCAGGCTCCAGGTCGGTGTCAGCCCCGGCATACAGAGTGGGAATGGGAGGAATCAACAGCAGAGGGAGGCAGGCTACTGTCCCCTCAACAGCATCTTCCTCCAGAACAGGCTAAGAGCCCCAACCTGATCACTGCGTTCCCCCCTTCCAGTTAGTCACAATAGCAGAGTGGGATACAAACACTTAGAAAAAAAATCTTATAATGAATCAGGATACTGTTTTGTACCATATTAAATTATGACACCAAATGTTATAATTTATAGTTTTTTATTTATACACCACTATTATATCTTAAGTTACATTTTTTTAAACACATGCCTTGCATTCTAGTACCTTTTCTAGCATTCTTGCCTTATGAGTAGGGAGGGGCCTGGTATTTTCGCTTTGCACCGGTCCCACTGGTACTATGTAGCCAGTCCTGACTATGTGACTAGGTTTTCTGAAGGTAAGATACTTATTTTAGGTGAAGGCTCAGTAACTATCCACAATTCCCAATGCCAGGTCTCCATTCAGTTTGTTTTCTGAGTTCAAGATCTAGGTCTGGAAACACTCCAGACATAAATCTGAAGGCATGTGAAGAGAAGTTTCCATGGATGGCCTTCTGCATCCGTCCCTTCACACCCCAGAGGTGCAGAGTGGCGGTAAGGATGGAAAGGGCACCAACTTGACAGGTGCTACAGTGGCATCAGTAACTCACACTGGCCAATATTTTATCTGCAGCTGTGAAAAATTATGCCAGGCATGGTGGCGCACGCCTCTAATCCCAGCACTTGAAGAGGCAGAGGCAGGTGGATTTATGCTGAGTTTGAGGGCAGCCTGGTCTACATAGTGAGCTCCAGGATAACCAGGGCTACATAAAGACCATGTCTCAAAGAAAAATATCATGTTTATTTTGTGTGTGTATGTGGTTTGTGTAATGTATTTTTTGAGACGGGGTCTCTCTGTATAGCCCAGGCTACTCCTGGACACAGGCTCGCACTGTGTCAACCTCCAAGCGCTGGGATTTTAGACATACACCACCAATGTTGTATTTCTTTGCCATATGCTAAGTCCTAATAACACTGAGGCTGACCCTGTTACTAACCTCATGCACACGAGGAGGAAGCACCCGAGACCTAGTTAAAAGACTCCATCACGTGCCTGATGAGGGCAGAGCCAGGACTGGTCCCCATCTCAGATGCCATGATCTCATCCCTCACTTGAAGTCCATGCACCAAAGAGCAGCGCCCCGTGAAGGACCAGCTGTAACCTTCTCATGTTGCCCTCCAGGGTTTGGAGAGGAACAGAAGAGGAGCCTCAGCACTGATTGCTCAGCTTATCTTTCTACAGGGCTCCTCAGCAGCCTCCACGAGTACCCACCACTGTGGTCATTCCTCCCGAGTTCCAGTGTCCTTCACACCTTCGTGGTGTTTACTGTGACCTGATCTTTCCTGACCCGTTTGCTGTCACCTTTTCTACTGGTCACAGCACAGTAGAGCTACCACTCAGCACAGGCACACGGCTGAGCCATCTTCAGAGTCTCAAAGCACAGTGGTGACTGGGCAATTCCCACACTCAGTTAACTGACAGGAATATTTTAGTCTGACATATGAGAATTCCCTTTAAAGTTTTAGAGCTATAAAAAGAGGGGCCTGGGTGCTACTGGTATGGCATCAAATCTATACTTTGGATGCAACTAAATAAACTTCAAATTAAAAAACAAAGTAAAACAAAGGTAGGAAAAACCTTGAGGCTCACTCTACGTATACTCATATTCATGCCTGTTTAGTTTAGGAACTTAAGTGCCACAAAGAGACTATGCCTCAAACACCACATTGGAATCACTGTAACCAGAGGAAGAGATTTGTCCCATCCTTTATCACTTATAGCTACGTCTGGAAGGAGTCCGGCTTAAACAGAGAGCATATTCACTTTAAATCACCATCAAATCTAGCACATACATTGTGTAGCTATCCAGGCATTTCCAGTATCTTCTAAATAAAAAGAGGTTTCTTCAGCTGGGCATAGTGTTAACATACTCATATGCTAAGAAAGGCAAAGCACGATGAGTTAGAGCCCTGTCTGGGCTACACATTGTATTCCAGGCTAGCCTGCCTAGCTTTAATTGACTATCTCCTTAACACTTGAACTTGTAAACTTTCAGGCTAAGCTGGAGCTAATCACAAGGTTTCAGGTCTTCTCCTGACAACAGGCAAGGATAAGCCTGCCAGGTTTTGTAAGTTGTTTACACTAGCACTTTCCTTAGCCAGAGGAAACATGGAACTCACCTCCTTGGAAAGATGCCATTTTCCAAACTTGTTGTCTGACTTCGAAGCCAGCGGCGCTGATAACTGCTGGAGGAGGATGTCGAGGAGCTTGGAGACGGGAAGGGTGTGATCAAAAGGCTGCTCAGTGAAGCTGTGAGGAAGCACATTTCAGTTTCAGAGTCCCGGCTCGAGTTTTTATAATGCTCAATACCACTGAGCTACACACTTACAATGGATTCCACTGAGGTTGGGGGCTACTCAGCACCCACACAAAAAGCTAGGCTTGCTAGTATGCACTTGTAATCCCGGGCCTGGAGAGGAAGAGACAGGAGAACCCCTGGGGCTCACTGGCCATCCATCCTAACCAAATCAGAGAGGCCCACCTCCCAGGAAAAGACCCTATATCTCAGAAAGCAAAAGATCCCCAAGGTTGACTTCTGACACAAACTCACACAGCACATGTTTGTACATCTGTACACAAATGTTCACTGCCCTCCAAACAAGTAAGTGAATGAATAATAAACAAATAAATAAATAGACTATACGCCAGGCATGGTGGCACATCCTATAATCTCAGTACTAGAGATGCAGAGGCAGGAGGATCTTGAGTTCTAGGTCAGTTTCACTATGTAATTTTGAGTTCCAGGCTAGCCTGGGCTACATAACCTCCCAACAGTCATCCCCCCAGAAAGAGTTTAAGATGGCAAATTCATATGAATTATGTATTTTAACACCATAAACATACAATGACAGTTAACCTAAAATTTTGGGTTCTACCCATCATATCCAGCAGGGGGAGACTAAAATTTCTCTCTTCCAAAAATTTCTATATAAAAGAAGAAAAAAAACCCACACAATTTTTTTTTGACACAGTATCTATTGCTATGCAGTCTAAATTGTCCTTGAACTCTCAATCCTCCTGCCTCAACCTCCCCAGTGTTGGGATTACAGATGCACATCATCACTCTTCAGAAAGAAGAAAGAATCCTAGCCTACCCATCTAGCCACCTTCTATTCTTAGTCACATGGATTCCTAATCCACAAATCTGCAGATCTGACCAGTGCACACATGATCAGGCTTTACATTACAAATGCAAAAGGAATTATTGCTCATTCATGGGAGGATGCACTCCAGATTGCTAAGAACACGGCCCATGTATATACCATAATCAACATCCCATTCCAAAACTTGTTTACATTTTGTACTGGCTGGTTTTGTCTGTCAACTTGACACAAGCTATTTATCAGAGGAAGGAGCCTCAGTTAAAGAAATGCCTCCTTGAGATCCAGCTGTAAGACATTTTTTCTTTTAATGATCAATGGGGAGGGTCCAATCCATTGTGGGTGGTGCCATCCCTGGGCTGCTGGTTCTGAGTTCTATAAGGTGGGCTAAGCAAGCCATGGGACGCAAGTCAGTCAACAGCACCCCTCCAGGGCCTCTGCATCGGCTCTTGCATCCAGGATGCTGCCCTGTTTGAGTTCCTGTCCTGACTTCCTTCAATGATGAACAGCAATACTGAAGTGTAAGCCTAATATACCCTTTTCTCCCCAACTTGCTTTTTGGTCATAGTGTTTCATCGCAACGATAGAAACCCTAAATCAGACACATGTATTTCTCCCTTGCCTAGTTCTTCACTCCCTATTTGGAGGTAAAATTTAGGCAAAATGATCAATTCATCGACATAAGATATGATTCCCCACTTCTGATCCTCACTTTCTTTCTTTCTTTCTTTCTTTCTTTCTTTCTTTCTTTCTTTCTTTCTTTCTTTCTTTCTTTCTTTCTTTCTTTCTCTTTCTTCCTTCCTTTCTTTCTTTCTTTCTCTTTCTCTCTCTCTCTTTCTCTTCTTTTTTTTTCTTTCTTTGAGACAAGTTCTCTCTATGTTGCCCTCACTGTCCTAAAACAAACTAACTATATAGACCAGACTGGCCTGGAACTCACAGAGATTTACCTGCCTCTGACCCTCATTTTCAAATAAAGAACTCTTACCCTCCTTTCTCTAGCTCCTTCTCATCCCCATGTCTGAACAAACTATTTCTAATCTTAAAGACTTTTTTTTTTTTAATAGAAGAGCTTACACTTGCCGGGAGGTGGTGGCACACACCTTTAATCCTAGCATTTGGGAGGCAGAGGCAGGTGGATCTCTGTGAGTTTGAGGCCAGCTTGAGCTACAGAGTGAGTTCTAGGAAAGGCGCAAAGCTACACAGAGAAATCCTGTCTCAAAAAACCCAAAAAAAAAAAAAAAAAAAAAAAAAAAAAGAGCTTACACTTGGAACAAATGATTTTGAACTGTAGCAACTATTCTGAAAATAAATTACTAGGCGTGGTGTTTTGAATTAGAATGACACTCCCCCCCCCCCGCCCCCCGCCCCAAGGCTCATATTTTTGAATACTTGGCACTCAGTTGGTGGAACTGTTTAGGAAGTTTTGGCCTTGGAGGGGGTGTGTTGCTTTGAGGTTTAAAACACCATACCTGCCTGCCTGCTCCCCTTGCCTGCCGCCTGAAGATCAGGATGTAAGGCTCTCGGTTATTTCTACAGCTCCATGCCTGCCTGCCTGCCTGCCTGCCTGCCTGCCTGCCTGCCTGCCTTCCTGCCTTGATGACAATGGAACAACCCTCTGAAACTGTAAGGAAGCCACCAGTTAAATGTTCCTCTTTTAAGTTGTTTTGGTCATGGTGTCTCTTCACAGGACAGAACATTAACTAAGATACTAGGGTTTTACGTAATGGGTGACAGAAGCAAATTCTTTACTCGGTGGTCAGAGAAAATCTCTTGGGTCTCAGTTAAAATGCCACCAAGAGGCAGACACAAGAAAGGCTCAAAGGGAATATATACCAGATGCCCATTCTACATGAAGAAAACAGAGTAATACTAAAAAACAAAACAAAACCCACCACTGGCAGGGGGTCTTGAGAAACGGCTCAGCAGCCAGAGTGCTTCCTGCTATGGAGGGTGGGTGGGTGGTGCCGACAACCCCTCCCTTCTGTAGCCACGCCGACACACTCATCTGAGACACACTGAGGGCTCCACACATCATCCACTCCGAGCTAATCTGCATGATCCTAGTCTATCCACGCCTGGCTGCCTGCCATCCTTGCTCGCAATAACTATGTCTAAACCACAACTCTGCAAAGCTTGCTCCCACCGCAGTCTTTTGCTGGCTGTCCTCAGCACCAAAAATACTATTTGCTCTGGCAGTCACAGAGCAGGTCCCTTCTGGCAAATAAGTCTGGGCTGCATTTTTCCTTCTTGAAGGCATTCCCTGAGCACCCAGATATTTTTCTTCCCTTCAGTGAATAAGTGTGTATTGTAGCTCTTGTAGCACACACTCCAGCTTTTTATCTCCAACATGGTGCGTACTTCCTGAATATAATAATAACCTCTATTTAACTCAAGTAATATTGACAATTCTTCAAGTTTTTGCTCCCTTAGACACCTGGAAAGTTATCAGGTTCCTGAAAATTTAGTATGTAGTTATTATTTTAAAACACAGTCAAGTGGCGCATGCCTTTAATCCCAGCACTCGGAAGGCAGAGGCAGGCGGATCTCTGAGTTCGAGGCCAGCCTGGCCTGCAGGGCGAGATCCAGGACAAGCACCAAAACTACACAGAGAAACCCTGTCTCGAAAAACAAAAACAATAACAAAACAACAACAAAGTAAAGTGACAGCAATTGAAAAGCCAATGAGTTATCTAACAGGAAGTTTTCACGTTGATTTAAAAAACAAGCAAATTAGCCGGGCGGTGGTGGCGCACGCCTTTAATCCCAGCACTCGGGAGGCAGAGGCAGGCGGATCTTTGTGAGTTCGAGGCCAGCCTGGGCTACCAAGTGA